GTGTTGCCAGGTTGGAGCAGAAACCCTGGGGGGGCTTCAGGGTTTTTTTGTCACGGATCCGGCTCCTGTATTTAGCTAGAGGATGCCAACCTCACAGAGAGACTTTAAAATTAGACCAAGCCGCTTCAGATCAGTCGCTAGCTGTAAGATACTTGCAAGATCATCACATAGCTGAGCCTCCCGTCTCTTCTTGTATCTCCGAGTTAGTAACAGGCAGATGGCGTTGGATGGTGTCACCTTGTCACCCTGTTGCCCTGCTGCCCTCTGCATACTTCATGTTTCCTTCTTGTTACATCGGAGCACAATTAGCCTCCCTTGTTTCCCTTGATTGTGAGACAATCAGGAAACATACATTTTGCACTTACAAGTTTTTGTCGTACCTAACCTGGTGCATTCACATGCTCCATTTCCCAAGTTGGGAAGCCATTCATCTGACTTTGGTGCGTTCGTGATCTTTTAAGTTGTATTGTGAAAACAGCATGGTCTAGTGAGAGACCGATTAATCTGGCTGATATCGGGAATTGTGAAATAATCTGCATCGACTGATACCTGCACTCATGAGACCTTTACACCGTCTGAAATCTATAGGATGTATTTTTCTATTTCATTCATTAAAAACATTTTATCTTAATCAACATGTTAGTGGCTAAGATGACCATGTATATTAGATTGTACTCTGCATGGACTAATGGAATTATACGTGACATTTCTTTGTTTTGAAATCAGTATTATATATCGACCACTGAAAACCCCATATCGGTCAACCACTAGCATGAATGCTACAAAGAAGATGTGTATTTTATAGATCAGAGTGTTTAAACAATACATTGATCGCTCTTTCCACTCAAATAATTCTTTACAGTTGGAAACAAATTTTTCCCATTATTCCGACATCACTTGAGGCAGCGTCATTTGCGGAGGTCGGTCACATTTAGTATCAACATGGCTAATGTTGCCGCAACTCAGAGGCCACTGAGTTGCCACTGCATTTTATTTCTGCATCTGTACCTGCTGGTGTTGGATGGGATAATGAAGGATAAGTAACTGAAGTGTGTTTTTTTTTTTTCCCAGGCGAGTGTATCGAGACAAGCTGAAGTTCTGGACGCACTGCGTCCTTGTGACGCTCGTCATCTTCACCATCATGTCCTTCTTCGCCGAACAGGTCAGTGTGTCCACCTCGGACCACACAAGGTTTATTTACACATTCAGATAAAGACAGGACAGGACATTTGTTCACACACCTCTCTGTTTCCATGATTCACACTTGAGCTATGATTCAGGCCTTCGCTTCAGAAATTCCATTTGGAGGTGGATCCATCTCATGTGTCGTGCTAGGCCACCTGAGCCTGGACCTGACTTTACAGAAATGAAAGTCCCCTAATAGTCCTGTGTGGAACACAAGACTTGTCCATCTGTGTTGACTTGAATCATACAGTACTAATTATTTATTAACTGTCTTTGTTGCTAGATAAGTGGGATTTTTTTTGCTTCAACAAAATCCAAAGAATATGAAAGCAAATCATTTTAAAATCAGGATAGTATTCTTGGACAACTTTTCACTCAAATTCTTCCAATTTGGTACTGGGAAGAAATGAGTGCCAGAAATTGTTTTAACAAATACTACTCGACCAAGGTTTGACATTGAGCTGTTTTGAGGCGTTTCCAGTTTCTCCTCAGCTAACCTAAAGAAAGGTCAACAGTTGCAGTGACCTTAGGAGAATTTTCCCCACAGCAACCCATGAGACCAGTGTTCCCAGTTAGGAATGTGTCAGACTTGTCCAGTGTCTCTGTCACTACACACAAACAGACTTTTGACGGGCTTTTTGGCACCAGATGAGGCTGTCCTGCTGCCCAAGTTATTGAGATAGAGACATCGGCTTTGTACAGTTTAGATTAGAGAGATCAAAAGTGTGATTATCTTTGCTTTCTTAGGTTACAAAGGTCTGAGGGGCACTGGTGTCAAAGTTCTGTTGAGTAACCAAGTTTTTTTTTTTTTTATCTGAAAGGAATAATGTCTATATTTCAGGCAGACTTCACAGTTCTGTTTTTAACTTAATTTATAGTGACATATTCAGATTTTGCATTTTAAGTCACACATTACTACTAAAAAATATCGAGAGAGTGTTTGATCAGGGTTGTGCAGAGTTGCAGTGTACTTTTATAGCTACAATTCAGGCACATATTGACTGTGTGTCACATTAGCGGCATGAAAGCATAGTAAACAAACACACAAGTGGATATTTTTGGAGTACTTAACACAATAATAAATAGAGAGCGACAGCTGATTTAAAAAAAAATGATAGATATATATTTTCGCAGTTAACGAACATCATGCGTGGTGTTGATCTTCTCATAACTCTCTGCCAGAAGCGAATAAGGGAAGTGTATTTCCTAAAATCACTACTATACTATATATACACTATAGCTTGAAGTGTAAATATACCCAGCCTCTTGCTAGCAGATAGCACAAGGTTTTTTTTTTTTTGTCTTTTCTTGGCTGCATGCAGTTTCTATTTAAACCATTTCCAATCTTCCTTCATCTTACAGCTGATTCTGCTGAAGCGAAAACTGTTCCCCAGACGCCGAGTGAACAAGGACTGCAACCCTGAACGGGTGTGACAGAGGAAGACTCTCTTCTCCTTTTTGTATCTCAGACCTACACCCTTTCTCTCCTGCTCAGTAGAGGGACAGGAGAGGATTCAGACCGGTCCTCGATGCTTGTGTTGTATCAGCCCGGATGGAGGGTAGAGACGCATGAGAGATGGTGATGAAACATTTTTCAGAAGATGATGGATGGGGCTTGCCGGTGAAAGGAATGGCAGCCGGAAAGAAGAAGCCTGTAAATCATCTTTTGCTCCACTGGTTGCATCTGAGACTTTCATACAACAAACACGCTTACACAAACACAAAACACTCCCTGTACTCTTTCCACCCTCCTCACGTCTTGCCCTCAACATGTCATTGATTGGTGTGCTGCTAAAGTGAAACACTGTGTGTGTGTGTGTGTGTGTGTGTGTGTGTGTGTGTGTGTGTGTGTGTGTGTGTGTGTGTGTGTGTGTGTGTGTGTGTGTGTGTGTGTGTGTGTGTGTGTGTGTGTGTGTGTGTGTGTGTGTGTGTGTGTGTGTGTGTGTGTGTGTGTGTGTGTGTGTGTGTGTGTGTGTGTGTGTGTGTGTGTGTGTGTGTGTGTTCACATTCTACAATAAAATCCACAAAATGTTGTGTTTAAAGCTAAAACAGATTAGGTTAATAGATTTGTCAATCAACAGAAAACAACCTGCAACTAATTTGATTATCAATTAATCATTTGAGTCACTTTTCAGGACAAAAAAAAAAGGTTTTGGGCTTTTGATTTAAACAAAAAAAGATATTTGAAGACGCTACCTTGGGTACTGCGGAATTGTGATGGCAATTTTTCACAATGAAAAATAGTTGGCAGATGACAAAAATAGGTACTTACAGCCACGGCTGTGTTTGGCTTTTACTGCAATGGCTTCATTTAAAGAAAAGGAGGACCTATAGAATGAATAAAATAATGAATTTAAGTGTTTGCTGCATCTCTCTTTGTCTGTTGTCTATAAAATCATAAACCTCAAGTGCCTTAGTTGTTCATTCCTACTTGTTGGAACATATTTGTTTATCTCCTGTTGGTTGTTTTTTTTATTTTTATTTTAATATCTTAAACAATGTCTTAAATGTTTGCCGCGTCACACCCTAATATAGTGATTTACAATGAGAATGAATGGGATATAGGATAATATGATTCTTGATGTGGTACAAATGTTGTTATTGATTGTTGGAGCTACACGTGATACTACAGCTTTCATAGCCACCTGTGTGTGTGTCCCTGTGGGACTCTACAGGCTCGCTACTGTCTGAAATTCAGACTCCCTCACCATGTTCTGTAACTTATTTTGATGTATTATGGTAACATTTAGCACAGGGACTGATGCATCTGATTTGAATGCTGCAGAATATAAAAACGTTCTTTATTATGGCAAGAGTGGAAGTGACTATTTGAAACTGGTAGCATTTGGCCGCTGATAGAAAAGTCTTGGTATACATTTTGATGTTAGCAGGCGATGTATGCGAGATGATGAGTAACGTATCCCTCAGATTGCATCAGTTCAGAGGCTACTCTGAGTGAAATAAAATGATTTGGTTTAGCCATCTTGGTGTTTGTCATATGTTAATGTAGCTTAGTACATTTACTCAAGTACTGTACTAATGTACCATTTTGTAATACTTCTTCTCCACTACATTTGAGAAGGAGATATTGTAGTTTTTACTCCACTACATTTATTTGACAGGTATAGTTATTTTTTTCTAAACATGATGTAGAACTACCCAACATTTAACAAAAAACAAGACTTAGAGTCTACAGCCATGCTAACAGCTCTGTGGTTGTATTTGGACACAGTGGTACTTAGAGCTAAATGCTAACGTCGGAATACTACAATGACAACACTAATGCTGATGTTAAACAGATAAATGTTTACAATGTTCACCATCTTAGTTTTACATGTGTTAGCATGCCAACAATTGCTAATTAGCGCAAAGCACAGGTGAGGCTGATCATTTTGTAGAATCATCATAAAGCAATGTTTTGGATGAAAATTATTATTAAATATTAATAATTAAATAATTCATCCTGTGGTGAATATGAATGTCTTACATTTTATGGTAATCCATAAAATAAGTGCAGAGACATTTCTTATGGAAACCATTAATTTTGGACACATTGAAATATTGACCCAACAATGGCGCTAGATGAAATCTTCAGAGATCACCAAAATAATTGCAATGCAACCTGAGGGGGACATGAATGTGTGTACCAGATTTCATGGAAATGATCTAATAATTGTTGACTCAAAATGTCAACCTGCTGGTGGCGCTAGAGGGAAAATCAGTGGGATTCTGAACATGTATAATATATTAGCATTTATGTTATATTTGATATTCTTATATATGTCATTTTCTTTCATTACTGACAGTGACAGCAATCACATGAAAAATATTTTCTTTATTACAATCGTATCCACCCATCTGTTTAGTAGAAAGGTGTTTTACACTATTATTGAACAGTGCAACATGGTGTTGAAATAAAGGTTGTACATTTCAATGCATAGTTCCAAAGTCCATCGAAAGTTATGCAAAATTATCTTTTAAAGGACATGCCCCTTTATAATGTCTAAAATCCTGCAGATGCAGAATCTGAGAGGAAGATCATTTATTTATCCAAATAAAATTAAAGAATACACTTCTTTTTTTTTTACCTTCAAATTGTTTAGCGGCACTACAGTAATATCCCTTTTGATCCCAATGAACCTGAATGATGAGTCAGTCAGATTACATTACAACTACTCTGTAATAATCAATCATTACAAAATTACTGATACTCCAACAAATCTTCAAGAACAAAATTAATTACTCAACTATACATAATACGCATGTTTGTATAAGTGAAGAAATGAGTGAACAGTAAAAAAAAAAACCAACAACCTTCCAGTAGCATTGTATTATTACTATTGTTGCATCTGGTATGATACTTAAGTGGAAAAACAAAACGTACAAAGCTGTTTTAAATTTTCACAAGTTTAACAGTAATTACAACAAAAATATTTAAGGCGTCTTCAGTTGAATTCTGTACAATCACAAATAATTAACAATTAGCCCTTCAGGGAGAAGAACGGAGAAAGCAGAAAAGTCGTGTGTTAATGCTTCATCAGTCGAAGGTGCTCTAAAAAGGCCGGAGGTGAGGTGTTTATTTTCAAGACTGTAGGATGAGATGAGCAACAGGGAATATAAATATTAACAGAAAGGTGGTCGTAAGAGAAGCCTTATAGATAACCTGTCGTCATTTTCAGCACTAACACAGACTGTTATCCCTCCACGGAGCGTGTTGACAAACTGCCAGTCCACATTGCAAACTTCATTGGAAATTGAGGTTTTAAAAGTCATTTACATATACTGATCTGCATTTTTAAACCCTGATTCATGTCAGATTGAGTCACATTCATTTAAGAAATAAAAACAAATTAAGAAAACTTTACACAGATAAACCATTTAGTTTGGGTACATATCAAAGAGATTTAACTTACTGAGCAGTTAAGACTGTTTTAAATATACAGCAATCCCACACACATCTCTAATTTTAAAGCAGATACAAATGCTTTGATATGTGCCCAAACTATAATGTACCTGTTAAAGTAAACATTTTGGTATTGGAGTTGAATAAGCAGGAAATGTTATGAGTGCCCTTCTTCTATAAAAATCTCAACTTAATTTTCTGACAACATGCACTGATGTTTAAATTAAAATGTTATTGGCTGCCAATGAGGAATTCAAGGGAAACTCTGGTTTCATGTAATTTTCCATTCAGCAGATCCATGCTTTTCAAAACCTTTTTTTCCCCTCTTTTTGGTTTGTAGTGTCGAGTTGGTTTTATTTTTCCATCTGGGTGAGAGAGGCAGTTTTAATCAGAAATGGTCACTTTGTCAAGGCTGCAGTGGCTCTGGGTTGAGGGTGTCTCCTCGTGGTCGTCTGCTTTCAGGAGCGGGGAGAGGTCCGAGTCTCCCCCCGCCTCCTCCCGCCGGGCAAGCCGTCAGTCGCGGTGGGTCTGGCTCGGCGGCGTGATGCTGAAGACTCGGATGCGCAGGTGGGAAGCGATCTGGAGGCACACGCCGGTACAGTAGCGTGTTAGATCCAGGAGAGAGAAGACCTAAAGAAAGATGGAGGATCATACATCAAAGGCTGGAAAAAATATATACAATGCACTGATATGCATTGACTGATATTTAATTAATACATGTGAAACATGAGCAAAGTGAAACAAAGTGTAAACTAAATATCATTTAATAAATAAATCTATGTAAAGTACCATTTTAAGTGGCTTTTATAAGGTGCTTCTTTTAAAACAGATTTCAACATTAGGGCTGTAACGGTTCTGAAACCGAGACCGAAATTGCCACACAAAAGTCCACGGTCTCGTGTTGCAAATCGGAGAGACAGAACCGCGACACACCTGCTCATTGACTGTTGAGCTCTCATCAGTGCAACTGTGGTAGCGGGGTGGGCTCGTAGTGGTGTATATCTATTTTTATTTAAAGCTGGTTATTGTAGGTAGTTTTCCACATGATTTTACAGTTTATTTACTACTTGAATCTGGTCCTCTCCCCTTCTCTACTCCCCACACGCTCACACAGTACACACACCTAGCCTGCACCTCTGGTTTCTCAAGGCAAACACACCGTCTTGCCCCGCCTCTTTCTGTCTCTGTCTCCCTGCATGTGTGTATGCTGACTTCCTCCATCAGCAATATGTTTCATTAAGTCGCCGTGTTTAATAAACTCGTGATTCAGTTTTCAAGTGTGCGGCATGTGGATCGAAACCGAAAGTAACTTTAGTGAGCGACATCTGCAGTGGTGCGTTCACTGCCGCTCCATAATGCAATATTTCCCCTGTGTCCGTTCAAAAATTGAGGTCTGAATCTATCTGTGGATTTGGTGTGTGGTTACACCCCTATTCAACAGGGTGCACCAGGTTTTGGGTTCATTGGCCAACTTACCTAAAGAACAATATTATTTATTTTAATTGTAGCAGCAGTTTTATCGTAGAATTGTCATGACTGTTTTTATACTGTCTGGTCTGCTATTAGATTCCGTCCACTCTGATTAGAAGCAAGATAACATGCTCCATAGACGTCGTCAAAAGGAACCTTTGGTCATGTTATCGTCTAAATGACACTGAACCTTGAACTACAGGTATAATGCATCCTTATTAGCTATCGCTATGGTGAAAACGAGCAGAGCTCAGAGTCCCACGAACAGGACTGAAACCTACTGTGCTTACGTGTACATAGACTACACAGTTATTGTTGTTAGTCACCTATGCACACCTCTCCTGCAAATTTTACTGCGCAACTCCACACCTTGTTCAGTGTCAATGTTTAATAAATTATAAAAATGTTTGGTAATTTTTTTCTGGTTGAACACTCTCTGCAACAGCTGCAACCTTAAAAAATAAAAATAAAAAAAAGATATATTTACTTTTGTTTGCTGGGTGCAGTCTTATGAAGCATCAATGTACAATTTATTATATAACAACACAGTACATAAGCAGTGACCATAGAGAGCTTTACACACCATCAGATATGTATTTAGATGTTTACTTTCAGCATTTCTATGTCAGATGAGTGCACCAATGTTTGTGTTTTCCTCATTTTGGGCAGCGCTGAACGAACTATAGGTCTATATTTTCATCACGTTGAAGCTGAACTGAACAGGCCAAAAAAACTTCTTCTTTTTACTGATAATAATCAAATAGACGCAACTGATTATATACCACCAAGCGATATACTACATTACATTCATTCATTTAACTGATGCTTTTATCAAAAGCGACCTACAATTGCTACATATGTTAAAGGTCACATGCCTCTGGAGCAACTAAGGGTTAAGTGTCTTGCTCAGGGATACATTGGATGTGCCACAGTGGGGAATTGAACCCAGTTCTCTTACACCAAAGGCATGTGTCTTATCCACTGCTCCGTACCACCCTTCACCCTGCATACTTTAGTAGTTATACAGGAACTCAATTAGATACATGCTGAGTAGTGATAAATAGTCGAGGGTGTTCGTTCAGATGGAGCTTACTGGAGTCTGACAAAATCGGCTTGGCGACTACAAATTTTTAATGGAAAGCATTAGCGATGAAAGGTGAAGAGCTTGAAAGATGCGAGCGTTTATCTTTCAAGTTGCATTATAGGAAGTATAGAATCTAGTGTTTTTCTCCTCAGTCCTTCAACTTAATGGAAAGGCAATATTAAATATTTTGGAGAACTTCTAAGAAGTAACTGTTTTCTTATTCTATTATAAAAGTGTCAAACACTGACCATGGCGATCCAGAGGACTATGTACTCATCGATGAAGCTGTTGAAGTACTGGTTGAGGAAGAGGAGGCCTGGGCCTACAAAGGCTGTGTCCGCGAGGTGCAGCTCACTCTTAGTCATGTGTGCTACCTACAGGGACACAGGGATACACATGAGGTAAAGAAAACACTGATTCAATACACTGGGTACTAGATTACAGGATTGAATACAAACAAGGACACATGAGAAACAACAAAAAGCCTAAAAATGTGTGCATAACACAATGTTAAATATAAATGCATTTTGGAGTTTACACAAATAATTTAGGAAGATTAAAGTTATACTCCTTAAGATTTTCATAAATTTATGGTCAGAATGTATTATTATGTATGATTAATGTAATTACATTCTGTAGTTATTTTCATTGCATTCATTTTAATTCTTTAATTATCAGAGATTACAGCTGACATCGATCGTTCATCAAAAATAAACCACAAAATAAAACATTTAAACAATATGAGTTTGTTTGGCTGCACTGTAAACAGATTTACTACAAAGTAGCCGCTCAACGAGTGTTTGCCTCAATGTTTAACTCCACATGCTCCACACGGTAGTTGCCACATCAACCAGGAATGAAATCATAAGGATTACAACTGTACGACAAGACTAACGCACCACCAGCTTGTTGGAGATCTTGGAGATGACCATGCCAAAGGCAAGCAGGTACAGACAGGGGTGGTGCTCAAACAGGTGGCTGGACGACTTCTTGAAAATGATGAAGGCCAGGGTGAGGATGAGGCCGATGTGCAAACCAGGACCCAGCACACTGGTGTCCTAAAGAGAGGCAATGCTATTAAACCTGCATCATAATATATCATCTGCTACATAAATTCAGGCAACTTTTCCTTCTCCAGACTTTGCATACCATGTGTAATGTGTGAATGTGCGCGTTGACTTACAGCCACAGTAGAGCCATTTTTGCCAACACCTCCATTCAAAATGACATAGAAGTAATTGTAGCAGGAGTAGAGGGCTCCTCCGATGATGCCCATGATGGGGAAGACGTACATCTTCAGTCCAATGATGGGCAACTACGGAAACACATGAAGGTCAAATCAGCGTGAAGACAAAAAGCATTCTCCTTTTAGAAAGAAGAAAGGTGCTTATATGAAAGCTGCAAGCATGCCGAGCGTGATGGGAGGGCAAAGCAAAAGAATTAAACAAAACAATGCGGGTGACATCATCAGCTTTGTGAGCCAGATCATGTCCAGTAGATGACCTGTTGCCATGGCGTTAGCTACCCATATTTACCTTCTCAATTCTCTCATGTGACGTTAAGTCAAGCCTCCAAAGGCAGCACAGAGTAAAAGTAAAACACAAATTCTATTTTAAGACTAAAAGGATGACTAAAAACTAGGAACTGATTAGATGATTTGCTTTGTGTAAAAACTAATGGACTATACACTCAAGGTGAAATGAAAGTGTGTGTACAGTATGTGCATCTGTACATGTGACGTTCCAAATATTTTATTCTCAGTTACCGTGGTTTGCCAAAGGCTCACGCCACCGAAAGCTGACATAAAATACATGATCGTGATGGCGACCTGCACCTCTGTCACGTCAATCCTGTGAGGAAAGTAACAGGGAAAAGTGAGATTAGTGACACTATAAAGGTTTGAAAGTTATATAGGAGCAGAACAGAATCCAAACTTATTATTGGAAAAACCAAACGCTACTGACTTACAGGCCAAAGCGGAGGGTCCCGGACACGTAGGTCTGCCATTGGGCGCAGAAGAACATAAACATCCCAATGAACCCACAGAAGAACATCCAGTTTGAGTATATTCCTATTCCACATGAAATGCATGTTCCCACAGCAACAAAGACTGAAGGAGGAAAGATGGAAAGACAGAACAACAAACAAATAATTCATATTTTGTTAATGAAACAACAGAGCCTCTCCTTGATCCACTAATGCCGTAGTAAAGCACCTGTGGAGACAGCATCGCAGCCGTGGTCAAAGAGCTCCCCCAGAGGTGAGCTGCTGTTCGTCCTCCTTGCCTGCTTCCCATCAATAGCGTCCAGAGACTGGTAGATGAACAGGCCCAGACCACTCATGATGAAGGCCCATGATGGAGCCTGGGGGTGGAGAGGTAAGGAGGCTTTATTTAGGGATCCCTGCTCACAAGAAGGACCATGGCACAAACTTAGGTAAAACAAACTAGAGCTGAAACAATTGGTTGATTAATAAATATTCATATTAAATCAAAATAAAAGAATCAGTGACTATTTAGATAATTGATTGAACTTTAAAAAAATAAGTAAAAAAATCCCCTAAAGAACCCTACTTATAACTTCTCAATTGTGAATGTTTGCTTCTATTCTCCATTTTAAATCATTGTAAACTGATTATCTTTGGGTTTTGGACTCTTGATCGGACAAAACAATACACTGAAGATGTCACCTTGGACTCTGGGAAACTGGGATGGAGATTTTACACAACTTTCTGACATTTTATAGACCAAACGATAAACCGAGACAGTCATCAGCAGCTAAGTCGATGATGCGCATAGTCGGTATCTGGTCATGCTGACACGATGCAAAATTATTGAGGCGTCGTGGAAATAAGTCACACCTTCATCATTTGAGCTCTGGATTTAACTCATATTTTTGTATTATTCAATTATATATGGAGATATACAGGTTGGTAGTGCTGGTTAAGGGATTAACGAGTGTTCAAAAGTGAACTGTTTTGGTGTCTCACCATCTAAACTCATTGCTTGTATCTGTGTGTGTACTGTAAGTACGGAGAAGGAGGGATTCCAGCTGACTGGAGCGGCTCAGTTCCTCTTACTAGGGCGGAGGTTATAGACCATCTGGGCGCTAGAGCTGGCCAACACAGTGTGTTTACCACTACAATGTGTGTGAGCATGTTTGCGAGTGTGTGTGAGTGAGGGAGACAAAGATAGTATGTGTTTCCAGAGAGATCAAGCTGTCCTAAATAATCAGAGATCCCACTGTTTTCGTCAAAGTCCATGTCCTAAATGCCTCATGGACTGGTGGGGACAGAGTCCTGTTTTGAGAGTTATCAGTGATGTCACTTTAGGGAAAACTCTGAGCTGTGTCCATTAATTTGTATGAATTACTCTGTGTTTGTTTGCACAGGCATGGGACTCTCATTCCTTTACAGTCCATGAGAAAGAGTGGACATAGCCCAGGTTTGCCTTAGCCAATTCTAAATAATAAATAGAGGGGAATTAAATGCTTTTGTACTTGTGGAATTTGATGGTAACAGCATGGACTGTGGACTTCGATGCAAAGTTCTCATAGTTGGATTGGACATGTGGAAAAATGAGATTAACACACCCCTATGCATTTCCTGCTTGGGTCACTGCTCCACAGTGAACCTGGTGACGCAAGTTAAGTGGATCATAGGTCAGCTGTTTGGTGCAAGCCTTATTAGTGTATTTGAGGTAACTTTAGACGTTTTAGTAATATGTAACTTTAGCTGTAGTTGAGATGATAGTAAAGGTGGATCTGGCGGCCCTTCACGTTAGTCATCCAAACAGCTTCTTTTTTGTGTGTGCTAATTCTACTAATTCAACATTGTAAACAGTTATCCTCCCATCTAATGGTGAACTCAACTAGAGCAACAACATTTTCCTTCAAACCGCTGTGGTTTACTATCAACAACATTGCATCACTTGAGTCTGGGCAGAGAGCAACACGTCAAAGCTGTAAACTTTCCAACAACTTACGCGAAATACCACATGACAGATACGTCTCAATACAGTGCTCCGGTAGAGAAGCGATATCACACCATTTAAAGCGTCCTCGCTTGTATGTGGCAATGCTAACGTGACACCTTGTCATTTAGGATCTTTCTCCGAATCATCAGGAGATCGTCTCCAATTCGTCTCACACCTCCATACATAAAGCAGGACAGCACTTCAATTAAACGTCAACTTTCCGAAGTGATTAGTTTGATATTGCCTGAACCTTCTGCCAAAACACACCGCCGTGCGCGTTAGCAGGCGGCGTGACCCCATTAATATTGAATTGTATTTTAATGAGTAGCTGTGAGGCACAAATATATACCGAATTAACAAGTAGACTCTGCTGATTCAGGATATATCTTAAATTAGCCATTGAGGCAGGGAAAGTTTGCACAGGTGGCCACGTATCCTGAACTAAATTTTTTGAATGGAGGATTCGCCATCCAAGAGAAGGGCACGTAATTGGGGCTAATGTTAGTTCCCGTGTAGAAACTTGGGCCAAGGTCGCTTTACTCACCTCCTCTGTTGCAGTGGGACAATAATACACAAGCACCACCGTGGTGAGGATATTGATGATCAGTCCAACAATAGTCAGAGTGTTTGGTGCGATCCATGTCGGAATTTGCTCGATGAGCCAGTTCCAGTAGATCTGACACGGTGGCTCAAACATGGACCGACCAGACGCGGTGTATTTGTGCTCCTCCAGCCGCTTGAGCTGAGCGGGTGACAGCGGCTCTGGCCACAGGAAATGTGGCATTGTTTTTCTGCCTAGTCACTCAACCTACGGCAACAGATTTCCCAGTAGTCCCGAGTAGAGGCTCAAACAGGGCTATCTTCTCTCGGCCGACTCCAGAAAATAGCAACTCATTTGTCATTTACACCTAGGTGACTACGAGGCCATTTCCACAACGGAACCATGGGATGTCGATAGTCTGTACGTTTCGGAACGAGTTGCGTCTCTACAGGAAGCGGACCTGGCTCCGGAAGGGAAAGGGAATCATATTGCTGTGCACCGGGAAGTTTAAATTAAACTATAGCGTAAATGTAGCCTACTCGGTTATTTAACCCGCTATATGCTGCTAAAGTATATAAACTACCGTAACTGTGGTGTAGACATATGGAGCCAGGTACAACAGAGACAGGACGGTAAGTTCTGGGCATTTGGTAGTAACTAGAAAACTATAAATTAGTTTGAATGTCAGTCATCGTGTTTGTAGCGCTATATTTAATTATTAATTATTTATATTTGTTGTGATCGGTTGAAGATGTGTTCAGGGCCATAGCAAGAACGTCAGCCCCCCAGCATCTCCTCCATAACATTATCACCAGACACCAATTACTCTAATTTTATTTTAGTTTATTTTTAGTTTGTCATATTATTTAACTTACTTGTTTTTATTTTGTTAATGGTAATATTTTCTTTGCATTTAATTCCCTGACATGATAGCCTAAATGTGTGGAGAAAAACTAAACCCTTAAGTTGTGTTTTTATTGGCCTATTTTGCAAAAATTTAAGTCTAAAAATACTGGAATAAGCTAAAGAATCATATATAATTATTTAACTGTATAACATGAACTACCCCAGAGGAAATACCAAGGATAGGACAGCAGTCTCCAAAGTGATTGCTTTTTATTCATTTAGGCAATTACCAATATAATAATATATTAATAATATATGCATTAATGTATTTTGTGTTCTAAAAACGATAGCAGTTGTCCAGAGGTTTTGGCAGCCAGTAGGAGGATACAAGGCCACTCAGCAACTTTTATTCCTTGGCGAAATAAATTATGTGTTAATACCTTAATGCACTCATCACTACATGAGTAAGTGTTTGGGGATGAATCTTGGGGCTTGCAGCTGAAATACTCAGAGGGTTTGTTGATGAAGAACTGTAGGTAACAGGAGCCCAGAATTTCTTAACTACTTTCCCTGTCATGTAAATATAGAGGCCCTCTTCGAGTACATTCTGTCAGTCCAATATAGTAGCTTAGAGAAAAGTGAGGTGTACTGTAAAGCCTAATTCCTAAAATAATAAAGATAGATATTTTGAAACCAGTTTTCACAAAATTACATGCAAATTATATGTCTGTGCTTGAAAGCAACATTTACAGATTTATGCTATGCTGTCAGTTTATTATTCATTAGAATAAGTCTCTCTGTGCAAGCTTCAATTGTTGTTTCTTTATTAGATAGTCATACTGTTATAAGAGATCCAAACAAAATAAGTACAATTTTTTTTACATTACTTTTTATTGTAATCCATGGGTCATAATTACAAAGGTAAATGCATGTGCACATGACTGAGCATCTATCAAGCCTCAAGTCAAACATGAATCCAAAAAGCATGTGTCATGCAGAATATGATTGTGCGTAAACCTCTACAGTTCGTCACATAAATAACCTACACAGAAAAAAGTGAAATGAACAAATATTAAATGTGAAGGGTCTACACATTCATTTATCCAACATTAGCCTGGCCATTTTTTCCAATTGTCTTGCCATATAGAAGTTTTGACACACCACACCTTTGTTTATACATCCCCTTTTCCCTTCTGTCAGACCTATTAAATTATCACCTTCAAAAGGCACTCCCAACAAGAATCAACATGTAAATACTGTAGGTGTGTCACTGTGCTATATATTGTATATGTATGTATATTTTTTTTTACGCACTACATGTACTTATCAAAGCTAGAACCAAAACACTGCCGACATGCATCTGAGCTGACACAGTCTTTTAAACACAAGAGGGTGACAAAGAAGTGAACTGGCTTTTTTTCCTATGGTAACTAGCTCCAAACCTGCACACAGCAAGCCACACCACAGATCAGACCACCCTCCCCCACACCTGTCCCCCTGTCTTTCCATCCCTCCATCTGCCCTCAGGCCGCTGACCTCAATAGGTGAGAGAAGAGGATCACTAATGGTGGCACATTTCTGCTAAAGAGTCTGATGGCACTCTGTCCGATTTTACTTCTCTTGCTCGACAATCTTTGTCTCGTTCATGTACTTGTCAATCAGGTGTAGGGGCACTCCGCGTTGCATGAGTTCGAAGAAGGTGAAGCCTCCTGTGGGAAAAGAGGAAAAACTCTCTTATAATATTGTTGAGATGGACAGAGGCAGATGTGGATAGTGAAAAACAGAAAAATAAAGTACAAGGAGAAGAGGAGGAATGCTAAAGAGCAAGAGACTGATCAAGCAGAACAACAAGAATGTAAAGATGAGAGAAGAGAAGAAAGGTGGTCATAATAATAATCAGTTTGTAAATCTACATGTGCTCAGGCTTGCAGACCTAAAGGCATAGTTGATTTCACTGAATTACAATGCAGGTGCAACATCTTTGAAATATTCCAGATTAATGAAGCATTCACTGCCTTTGGTCATCCGCAATATGCTAAGAGTGGTGGTTGAAATATTCAGGTCCTTTGTAAATGTATCAATACCACATTGCAAATTTACGCTTTTAAGAGTAATAATCATGCAAAAAAACATTTACTTAACTAAAAGCAGAATAAAAGTATTAGCAAAATATACTTAAAGTATCAAAAGTTAAAGTTTTCATCATGCAAAAATGTGTTATACTTAAATGTAGCCTATTTTACAGTATTGGATTATGATTTCAGATGCATTAACATGTAAGCAGCATTTTACTGTTTTACTGTTGAAGCTAATTTGAACTATGCACGGTGGGGCATTTTAACCTCAAATAATCATATTTTAAAGGATGATTGCATGTTTTTTGTACAAAATCTTAATCTGTAGAGTAACTACTGACTTTATCTGTAAGATAAAAGCAGTAGATTAAAAAAATATACAAAAAGAAATAAGCACAATGTCCAGATAGTTACTGCACTCAGCGATCAGTCACTCAGAGATAGTCCGATATACAGTATAACCACTCATTAAACCACAATGTGTTTTTTTTGATCAAACAAAGGATCAAACAAATGAGATATAACTTGTTGAATGAATTTTAGAGGTGCTAGTAGGTGGATTAAGTTACCTTTGGACAGAACTAGGCTAGCTGTTTCTCCCTGTTTCCAGTCACTGTGCTAAGCTAACTAGCTGCTGACTGTATCTTCATATTTAATGAACAGATATGAAAGTGAAATTTTTTCATTTAACTCTAAGCATACATCCAAAAATGTCAAAATATTTCTAGAATTACATTATGTTCTTACTTTCTATGGGAAAAAAGCTATGGGATGCAATAGGATCTGTGCTGTCTCCTATAGTACATACATATCTCATTACTCAGTTTGAAACAGAACATAGAATATGTGGTATTAGTATGTTTTTTTTATCCTATACAGTTTTATTTAACAGCAGAAACACTTGTAGACATCTTATCATATACTCAGTCCCAGTCTCCACATATGCTGTTCTGGGTTTGTCAGCAAAGGTTAGCAAGTTTGCAAAATGGTTTACTCACCTTATCTGTGTCACAAAAAACATGAGAGGTAGTCTTTGAATTCACACCATTTCATAGAAACAACTATGGCAGTCAATTAAAATATTCAAGCCAGGGTTGTTAAATTCAGCCAGCCGAGCAGAACTGGGGAATAATTTGGCAAAAGTTGTCATGCAAACCTTGTTTCATCAATGCCCAATTTCACTTGAACTTTCTCTGAGTGGGGAAGAAAAGCTGCTACAGTCCCAAGTCCCAAGTACAAGCTGGCTGAAAGATGCATAATGAATGACATAAGCTTCATATGCCAAAACCATATGAAAGCTTACCTTATATGAGAACATACATTCACAATTCTTGAGTTTGGACTGGGGGAGAGAGAAAAGAATAGGGGTTAACAAAATGTTTACATGGAGTTATATGTGTGCACCAGGGAATACTGTCGAGTTATTACTGAACACTTTTATATGAGGAGTTAACTGCGTGGCATTGAGGGGACACTGGAATCTGTGGAGAATAGTTTAAAACACAAAAACATCACAGCTCTATATGTTATTCATACTGAGGTGTGACTGGTGACAGACTGTGTGTTGAGGTGGATTCGTGTGATGATGGACAAGATGACTGGATGGACTGGGCTGGATAGAGTTGAGGACACGGGGGATAAACCTCTACATGTGGTGGTGATAAAAAAAAGTGTCACCAGATATTATGTGCACAGCACACAAATGAATGGATTATTACTATGTTTTTATTTGTATCTATTTTGAAAATGGTGTCCAGGAGCTGGTTTTGCCAGCTGTTCATAAGTTCAAACTTTACTTTGTTTACTAAGTGGAGACTGACACATCACTAAATTAAAACAGGTTGCACCACACAAACTAGTCTTTACATAAAGATTAGTTGTTACTAAATGTTACACCCAATAACTGCGAGTTGTAAGTTTCAGTGACCTAATAGTGCTAACACAGTTAAAGTTAGAGGGCTAATAGAGTCGAGAGTAAAAGAGCACATAAGACTAAATGACCAAATAATATTAGCCAGGTTAGCATTTCAGATATTTCCCACTCACTCTGCAAATATTTATTCATTTATGGATATATAAGTCAAACCTACTTTACTAATGATTGGCAGGTAAGTTTAATATATCTTATATATATATTTTGGTCTCTTAAAGGTGTTTTTGGCAGTTATGTTACAGCTTGTAATGCTACAGTGAGTTTCTGCTTTTATAGTTGATTGCTTTTGATTGGACAGGCATGCGTTTCCTAACGACCAATTTACACATTACTAATATCTCTACCTGCAACCTAAGACTTTCTTTATGTTTTAATGGTGCAACCCGATTTAGTGAATAACCAGAAACCAGCTAATAGTTACTAAGAACTTCAGAAGGACTTTACACACAACATTAGTAATGAATTTACAAAGAACTGGTGCAATCCAATCCAGATACTTACTTGTCCACCGCCTATGTGGTCAGACCTTTGGTAGACTGCAACACACAATTCAAACACTATGGTACCCCATGGGAGTTGATTTCCCAAAGTCACCTTTTCTT